TAGTGATTTGAGAAATAGCTAACTATTTGTAATGAAAACATTTAGCATTCGCTCAATAATTGTAATCTTATCTTAAAAAGTTGTGTTTAAATAACGACTTCAATAAGAAATAATCGCATATTTTCCGATGTAATCAAATGTTGGACTTTAATTTGAATTCGCTTTTATTTTTTGTTTATAACATATCCGTACAGTTATTATAATTATTTGTTATTCACATCGGGATAATTGTGCAAATGATGTTTTCAAGTAAATTAAATAAATTCATAACATTATTTTATTAAAACACATGCTTAACATCTGTAAACATTTTTTGCTTATTCTTTGTGTCAATCTTTTGCTTTTGTATTCATTTTATTTGACGCCCTTTTGTTTGATAACTATTTGTGTGTTTGAAATGATTTCAATTTATTTGAACCTTTTTTCAAAATTATAATTCAAATGATTTGTTTTTTTCAACAAAAGGATTACTTTATTCTGAATTACAGACTTGTTTTATATAAAATAAACGTTTAAATAATTTAAGGGTTTATGAGCTTTGAATGCTATTTATAATAAGAGTGTAGGCGCTAAGTGTTGTGCCCTTCTCTGCAATCCCTTTAATATGTTATTTGAAATATTTTTTTATTTCCATAAATCTTTATATAAGTTTTCCTTAACCTTATGTCATTATAGACACTTTTAATCAGTAATTCATGTACACTGTATTCATTCATGTATTATCAATGCTATTGCCTTCCCATAGTTTATAAAGTATTGCATTATTTTAAGTTTATTGTATTTTTATCGAAATAGAGTTTAATGGATTACAATGAGATTTGTAAATTGATATTTAAAATCATATCGTTTAGCATGTACATACAGTTAATAAATATAAGTAAGGCATTGCAACATTTTATGTCAACAATCAGTCCCTACTCCAGGCTTATATACCATTTCTCTAATCATTTGTTCACATTTCATATAAATATTATACTCTATTACCGTATCATAGATTATATAAATGAACACATTTTATACACAATCACTTCACTATAATTCATAATACTATCGCTCTTCTCAACGCTAATCTCTCTTCAAATGTATAATTGATTGACAAAATATTTATTAAAAAGCAATTCTTAATGTAAGTGATATTATATCCTATTTCTTGTTGTGTTCTTGTGATTCATAAACCAATTGTTTAGATGTGAGACAATCATGAAAGCAATGACAAGAATTGTGTTGAATTGTGTTAATATGTATTGATTCGGTTGTGATTTCGGGAAATGGAGTTTTCATGATTTGTGTGATTATTGTTGGCAGTGGTAGTGGTTTGGTGTTGTTCCCTGGTCATATATACGTTATATACACGTTAGGCACGTTTTGGTCATGAGCTACCGCATACGGCATACGGCCCCCGTTGCATACTGACCAGACGGGTTGTGAGAGGGGTTGTGATAAGTATCGTGAGTTAGCTGTGGCCCTCTTCTCCTCTTCTCTCTCTGGTCTCAAAGACAGAGACAGAGAACTAACAAAATATTTAGTTTCTCTCATATATTAGCGTAGAGTCTGTGAACCAATGGATGAGTTCATGATTTCTTCACACAATTCTTTGTGTGTTTGTATGAACAGTGCTTAAGAGTAGAGGCGGTTAGTGTTGTCTACACTATAACTGGTGTACACTTTATTCACTCTATCGGCAATCGACTGACTATTATATTATAAGTTAGTGTTAGTTGTGTCCAACACTTCAAGGACTTCAACACTTGGATTGTATGAACAGTTCCTAACATCATGTCTGACGAAGTGATGTGAGTCTCAAAAATGGTGAACAACTGAACTACTCTTGTCTCAAATGACGACAATTATCTCCAATTAAGTCATTGTATGGCTGTTTGTGTCGATTTGTTGCTAAACAAATACCTCACTATTTATTGATGTGCTGTCGATCACATGAAATGCTATTAATATTTAAATCTTATCTCACTTTATGTCTATTTTACTGCCAGTGAATGCTTGCAGTGTTCACACAATCCGTGTCCTTCCAGTCCTCTACCACTCATTACTCAAGTAATACAGTATTTGTTAGATTGTAAATACTTTTATTTAAATTTTGCTACAAATTACAGGTATGTTATCTCTATTATAACACACACACTAACAATAGCTTATTTTTCACTTGTGCTATATTTTACACTCTATTTGTTTGAAATTCACTTGAAATATGACCACAATTCTTATTATAACCAACTTTACCATCATTCAAATGACTCATACTTCACATACTAACAATAGCTTATTTTTCACTTGTGCTATATTTTACACTCTATTTGTTTGAAATTCACTTGAAATATGACCACAATTCTTATTATAACCAACTTTACCATCATTCAAATGACTCATACTGTTATTTTTGTATGAGTATTCAATATACTACTTGTTACCGAACTTTCTTTATGCTAGTTGTTTGTTATTTGATACAAATTATAAATTAATCGTTACGAATATTACATATATTAATGAATAATTAAATTTAAAATTCTAATGTATATTACAATAGTGCAGTGAAACTACAATGAATTCATAGAAATCTATAAATAATTGCAAACAATTCTCTTTATTATGTGTAGTCTAGAATGGACTCAACTCAAGGTCACGCAAATTCCTGTGCTTGAAGTACATTGTATTGTATTTTATGGCCAATCCTTTATATATATGTTGTTTTTGTCTAATGTTTCACTATATTTACTTCATTTCTAATCAATTTACTCATAGTTAAGCTAATTTTGTTAATTTTATTTTGCTTTATACTTCTTAACTTGATAATTGATCACATGGTATTATAGTGAGTTTGGTTTATGTAGCACCGGATTTATGTAGCTTAGTTAGATGCTTAAAGCTTTTTAGTGTTATATTATAATTTAGTTTTATTGCTTCAATTAATGGCTCATAATTTTTAAAAATAATTACAACTAATTTGAATTCAATATTTGTTTCAACTGATTGTTAACTATTAAGCAATATTAAGTACTCTTAAAGCAATTAATGTCTAAAGTATAGANAACTGATTGTTAACTATTAAGCAATATTAAGTACTCTTAAAGCAATTAATGTCTAAAGTATAGAAATTATTGATTAAACAAAGAGTAATCAAAAACATTATAAAATTAGTGATTTGAGAAATAGCTAACTATTTGTAATGAAAACATTTAGCATTCTCTCAATAATTGTAATCTTATCTTAAAAAGTTGTGTTTAAATAACGACTTCAATACTAAGAAATAATCGCATATTTTCCGATGTAATCAAATGTTGGACTTTAATTTGAATTCGCTTTTATTTTTTGTTTATAACATATCCGTACAGTTATTATAATTATTTGTTATTCACATCGGAATAATTGTGCAAATGATGTTTTCAAGTAAATTAAATAAATTCATAACATTATTGCATTAAAACACATGCTTAACATCTGTAAACATTTTTTGCTTATTCTTTGTGTCAATCTTTTGCTTTTGTATTCATTTTATTTGACGCCCTTTTGTTTGATAACTATTCGTGTGTTTGAAATGATTTCAATTTATTTTAGCCTTTTTTCAAAATTATAATTCAAATGATTTGTTTTTTTCAACAAAAGGATTACTTTATTCTGAATTACAGACTTGTTTTATATAAAATAAACGTTTAAATAATTTAAGGGTTTATGAGCTTTGCTTTGAATGCTATTTATAATAAGAGTGTAGGCGCTAAGTGTTGTGCCCTTCTCTGCGATTCCTTTAATATGTTATTTGAAATATTTTTTATTTCCATAAATCTTTATATAAGTTTTCCTTAACCTTATGTCATTATAGACACTTTTAATCAGTAATTCATGTACACTGTACTGTATTCATTCATGTATTATCAATGCTATTGCCTTTCCATAGTTTATAAAGTATTGCATTATTTTAAGTTTATTGTATTTTTTATCGAAATAGAGTTTAATGGATTACAATGAGATTTGTAAATTGATATTTAAAATCATATCGTTTAGCATGTACATACAGTTAATAAATATAAGTAAGGCATTGCAACATTTTATGTCAACAATAATTCCTTGAATAGATTGCCTTGATACAGTATCATTGTTAGACTCGCTTGTAAATGGAGTGCGAAATGCATTCAAAATAATTTGTGTTTAATTTTATTGTTTCTTTTGAAATTGATTTTAATTTCATTTGAGAAGTGAATCAATTATAATAGAGTACAAGTAATAAGAATTAATTGAATTTGGTTTAAGTTTTTATTTTTATTCAATACTAGAGATTGTTTCGCCTGTGAAACGATTAATTTCGAGTTGAGATAAATTACTTTAGGCTGTGATAGACCTGAAAATAAATGTTTATTTCAAATCTTGTGATACGACTGGATTTGCAGTGGAATTAAGGTCACCAGAGTTCGTCTCCTCCAGAATAGTTTACTTTACAGTATTATCCCTCCATTCCCTCCATTTCCACGATAACCATAGACTCTGTGCTGAGTGGGTGTCGTGCTGTAAGACTCACGTTTGAGTCCAATTGAGATCAATATTAATTCATTTATAACATAACCGTATTTAGATTTATGTGCTTATCACCAATTATTGCAAAACTACTACTTTTATCATATTTTGTCAACTATTAGGTCGAGTAATCACTACTGAAAACAAACACTCAATTAATCGAAGCAATTGTGAAACGGGTCTTAAAAAGCATTGCATTAAAGAAAGTAAAGAAACTAAAGAAATAGACAATTGTAGTGGTGATCAACAATTGGTCGAAACAAATAAGAATAAGAGGTCAGCAAACCATCAGAAGTGTAAATCAGATCATAAGAAATTCGAGACTAATAGTAATAGTAGTAATAATACTAATAATAAATATCGGAATTGTCGCCAAACAACGAGAAGTAGTGAAACAAATGCACACAAATCTAAAGACTCGGTCGATAACAGCGGGAGCAGTGATACTGAAATAGAAGACTCGCAGAAGACATCATCAGATGATCACAAGAGGAAAGTGAGATCTAAACGAAATCATAAGAAATGTGTGAATTCTTCGGACAGTGATGTCAATGGTTCCGAAGAAGACAGTGAACCGCAAGTGATAACTGTTTTAAATAGTGATAATAATTGCAATGATTTAAACGATGTCAAGGATTCACAAACTATTTGCTCTCAAGTTTTAGAAAATGAGAAATTGAAGGAAAATAATGAATTGAAATCAAGGACTGATTCAAGCAGTGCTTTCACTGCAAACCCTAATGTGATAACAAGTGTTAAATGTTTTCCACAAACGTCTTCTCAAACGACAATTAGTACAACAATTCGCAATTCTCAACAAAATTCAGTTTCGGTTATTCGCCACGATTTGAAGCAATCATCAAATCCTAGCAAACGTGTCGACCAAACTAGTGTTCCGCAAAGGGTTGGTAATGTGTCCCAAATGGTGCCCACCATGTGTTCATTAGATGAACAGTTGAACACATCGGCACCCAATCCAAGCAAATGTGAATCATTCCCGACCCGAACCAATGTTATCGCCAATAAGACACCAGTCGATGACCACAAACCTATTTCTCCGCACCTGAGCTCAGGTGCCGTTTCTTGTGTTAAAGTGAACTCAGATAACAATAATTGTAATAATAATACGACTATTCGTGAGACCCATAAAAGTGCCGATGAATTGAATGTCGACTCTGCGACAGGCATTCAATCGTTAGCCTTAGACCGACTCGAGTCCGTCACTGTCTATAGGGATCCCAATTTAGTGGACAAACAGCCCATTAGACACATTGAATCAGTGCAACACCAGCACCACCGCCACGGACTCATGCATTCCGTAAACACGACGTCCGCCTCATCCCTGACCCACGCGTCCGAATTCGGGCGAATCTCGTCGAGTAGTGGATCTCAAGCGAGAACCTGTCAGAACCCATCGATTATCACGCCTTCGGTGTCATCAGTGCCGCCACAATATAAGCTGAAGTCGCAGCCAATCCATTCATCACATTCATCCTCAATATCGCCACACTTATTGAATACGACATCCCATGGATCACATCGACCTTCAAATCAAATGGATCCGCAATTATATCACCATTTGATGCAAAGCTCGCATCCAATGGTCTCCGGTCTAAACGCTCAGACAATTGATATGTTTTGGCAGCAAAAGAATTATCCGCCGCTCTCTTCAATGCCTACAAACAGTCCGTGGAATCTATACAATGAACAGATTAGAGCACAACTTCTTCATGGATCTACTGATAAACAGCCGGCACTTAGATTTGATAGGTTTGCCATTGTTTTGCATATATATGTCGACAATGTGTTTATTTTATTATTTAAAACTTAATGTTTAAACATTTATAGAGAAAAACGCGATGAGAAAGAAAAACAAATTAAAATGGAAAGAGAGAGCAAAGAGTATATGGAAAGAGAGAGGTCTCGAGAGAGCAAAGAGTATATGGAAAGAGAGAGGTCTCGACTCGAACTCATCGCAAAAGACAAGGAAGAGAACGCTAAGGAAGCGGTTGACCAACACTTTGAAGAATCACTTCGTTTAGCCCGACAGAAGGTATGCCTTATTGACAATAGTTTGATAACAATAGTGTGTATTTATTGTGAATATATTTGAAATGTTAGTCCCTTCAGAAGTCTGGATGGAGTCCCATATCGAACCTTCCACTCACTAAAACTCAGCCAAACATTTCCCGTCAGAGCCATGTATTACCTCAACATCAGTCACAACACCAAATGCCACCACACCTGCAACAGCAGTCGGTTAAGTCGAATGTGTCTTATAGTTCTCGTGAGTTAGAAAGAGAACGCCTTTCCAAAGAACATGAAACAGAAAAGTGGTTGCAATACGTCCATCAGCACCAGCAGCAACAACACCAACAACAACAACAACAACTCCAACAACAACACCAACACAGCTCTCACTCACAATCACATCCAACACATGGCTCTCGTGTGAATGCGGTGGAGGCGATGGCTAAACATAAACAGTTGGAATCGGGTCGTCATTTGCAGTCACAGTCACATCACTTGCAGTCATCACTGATGAATGAGTCCTCGAGTAAGCGCTCGACCACTAGTCCTGTGATGGAAGCGTCAAAACACCATCAGATGACATCTCGTGCCAAACCTGAGCCCAGTTTTAGTCTTTACGGATATCAACCAAATCAGAACATTAGTTACATAACTGCCGCTCAACTCAAAGAAAACAATCGTTTGAGTATATCTTCAGGTGTCTCGATGTCACCACTAATGACCGGTCGCACGGATATGTCGAAAGTGCCGCCGCCAGCAGCTCATGGTCTCGACAAAAGGGAATCTCCAAAAATTGACCGCTCATTGACTCCAAACAGTAGGAACAGTACTCCTATTGGGAGACCTCCTTCACTGTCGCCAAAACAAAAGTCACCGAAAATGATGGCTCCCGACAGAGTCAGTCCATTGTATCACAGAAGTCAAGGCCAGCCCATCAAACAATATGAATACCCACTAACAAGTGCTCCTCCGGCTCACCAAAGCACCAGTTCTCGGTCGGGAACCCCTCTGTTGAGCTCATCGCCTATATCTCTTCAATTGCAAAGTCAGATACCTGTCGCCCATTCCTCTCAAAATCAAGAACAGCCTCAAAATCTTGTGAAGTGTGACTCGAAAACGAAACTGAATTTCAACGAAATGACGAAATCGCAGCTCGAAGTGCACAGAGAGTCGCCGAACGCCATCCATTTGAAGGGTGCGCCCAATATGTCGACCGGTTATCAAGCATTCAGTTTAATACAACAGGGATTAGTGCCGAACCCCTTATATAAACCTCTGCCGACAACTCAGTCAATAACTAACACATCGTCGATGGCATCAGTGATAACACGTCCGCACTCGACAAAGCCTTCCAGTTGTACTCCAACTCAATCTCAGTCACAACCATCTCATATGTTCCCCAAACCCGGTCCCGGAATAGTTAGTGGTATTCCCATATGCCGTCCCAACAGTATTCCATATTACGAACCCAACCGAACAAATGTCTCCAATTCACCGAAATATTCAGCAAATGTTTCGACCATTAAAAGTGATTCTGTCAATACATATCCAGAACTGAACCGAATGGCTAAAGTGTCCGCACATTCGCCATACAACTCGACACAAGACCGCAATGTCTTTCACAGACTGCCCTCATCTCCGCACTCTCCGCGTATATCCAGCGGTTCTGTACCACAATCTCCTTACGGACCGCCACCCGGAATGGTGTCTGTGAACTCTAGTATCACTCAATCTCATACCAGCCCTCCCGCCGCTCATTCTGCAAGTAATCCGTATAATGTTAATCCTATTAATGTTAAAAGAAAATCTTTGGAACCAATTAATAATCCCTTAAATAATAAAAAACAAAGAATTGTTGAGAGTTCTAGTGTTAGCCAAATGCCAATTAAATCTGAGAATGTGATCAACACTAACATCACCCAAAACGCATCCAATGAAATGTGTGACCTCTCATCTGAAGTGCCCATAAAAACATCGAATTCAGCCATTGATAGTAAAGAATCGCTTGATTTTAATATATCCGATGATTTGCTATCAATGCAACAAAAGGGGATAACAGTTGTTGCAAAGGACTCGATAAATACAAGTTCTGTAGTGAACTCTAAGTCTTCAATCACTGAATTAAAAACTGAATCCAAATTAACGGTCAGTACTTCAAGCGCCACAACTAGTACTTCGAGTATATCGTCGACCAGTTCTTTTCACCCGAAACTCAAGAAAGCATGGCTTCAAAGACACTCCGAAGACAAGACTGGTATTGTGGGAACTCCTGCAGTGAGCGCCAGCAGTAGTGTTATTAAAAATATGAACGAAAGCTCCAATTCAAGCGCTGATAACAGCAAAGACAGAGAAACTAAAGTAAATGATATGACAGTGAATGGTGTGATCAGTAAGAAAGAGTCCAAAGAGGATGAGTTGAGCGAAGACGACGACACGACTTCTGCTTCTGAAACAGAGTTAAGTAATTCATCGAAAGGAAGTAAACGGAAAGCGCACACCCGCTCATCAAAAACCACTCGCAAACGGTTTCATTCGCAGAGTAAGGATAAGGATAAAGACAAAGACAAAGATAAGGATAAGAAACGTAAATCCGATTTAAATAAAAGCGAAGAAAAGAATGGAAAAGAAAATGAGGACAAGAAGAAGAAGGATAAGAACAAAGACAGTGATAAGGATTCAACGGACACGCGATCGTCGACTACCACAAGGAGGGGTCGCA